CATGGATATCACGTCAATGGTATAGTTGCTGAACAACCTCTTCATGTCGACCTCGAGACCGGTGGCCGCGTAGGTCTGCATGACATCCAGCAATTCGGTGACACATTCCCGGATCAATGGATACATTGTTCGCATTTTGCCGGACGTGAAGATCGGGCTAATGACAGATCGTTGCCGTTTCCACTCGTTTCCGACGACGACGTTCATGTCGTGGCTCAGCAACGGGTGACTGAATCGGTTGTTGATCCGGTCGTCGAAGATGTGAAAGTCTCTGACCAATACGTCCTTCAGGAGTTTGGGATCGCCTACCGATAGCACCGGTTGGTTGCCGTCGTATAGACTTTAGAGAGGGTTACATCAATTGATTACTTGTTTTGTATAATTATTTCATTCAGTTATGTCTACCCATAGAGTTTGCCATATTTTGAGATCCAGTACACCTCGACCTCCGTTTTCTCCCAAATGAACTTGGTCAACACGTTGCCAAAGCCTACAATAGGTGTGGGGCCTTTTATGCCCAATTTAGCCCAGTAGCTAAAATTGCGGCTGTAATACTTAAAGAGCCTATTTTGGTGGTGATTTAATTATTAAGTTATACTGGTTAATTATTAAATTGTTGATAAATACATACCAATACGATACTGTAAATACAGGAATAAACACGTATAATATTAAAGATAAAAATGTCATTTTTAAATATTATATTAAATATAATGAAACTTGTTTAATGAAAACTTGTTTTATTATTAAAAATAGAAGTTATATAACTGAATATTGAATGCAAACTTGACAATTTTATATAGTAATAGATTATATGGGTTTTTATTAGTTGTACTGTATTAATAATCTAATCAGACAAGTAAGCATAATAAACATGTACTATTCTGTACATGAATTCTCAATGGGTAACAAATATAATCTATGAGTTTGTTAAATTTACCCAGAATTGTGTTATCTATACGTTAGACTAACGTTTCATAATAAGCATACATTTACAGAATAATGTATAGACAATTAACAATACAATATGTACATGTACTCGGGAGACCCTGATAGATTTTTATATGCCGTAGTCATGTAAACTAGACACAGAAATCTGTGGCGTTTTACTTAAGTCCAGTATTTATTTAGCACTCAATAAGTAACCGTTTATTTGACGATTCATTTACAATATTTGGTAATAGATATGAATAACGATTTATTAAAAAGGTACAATCAAAATTCATTAAGTGCTTAGTAATTATAAACAAAAGCTTGTCAATTGCAGTTTACGGTAATCATTCAAAGTAATATATTTGTAATGTGTGAGCAAGATAAGATTTTAAACTCTGTATATTTACATACTTTGCATATACAATACTTTACATATGATTTTAAAACTTTAAATAGGTTTTCATTGTACCCTTTTAATAAATCATCTCTCATATAGAGAAGTTTATTTAAATCCAGATTTATTTTATCAATTCACCTTGAACTTGTTTTTATCTTAATTATATGTAATGAAAAATAACATACTTCAAAATAATTTAAATATTTTATTTTAATATACGGCAATAATATAACTAATCATAGGTTTAGTATTTATTTACTGATAAAATAGTGTCATTAGAGTGTCGGGGCTGAGGGCACAAGATTGCCGCCGTCCACAGGGATGAGAGTACCCGTCATAAGGACAGGTAGTACTACTGTTTTTGATAGTCGCCTTTAGGTGCCGGTGCTCTAAGAGCTCCGCCGTCCACTGGCATAATGAGGCCCGTAATGAATGAGGCACTGGTAGGTGAGGCCAGAAATACGACGGCTTCGGCCACGTCCTCGGGTTCACCGATTCGTTGCAACGGATATGTGTCGCGACACGTCTTCTCCATGAGTGCCAACAAATTTGAGTCACCGGTCATTGTCTCAAAAATGGGGGTTCGGATTGCAGCCGGGCTATTGAGACATGAATTATATACAGAATTATGTACAGAATTATGTACAGAATTATATACAGAATTATGTACAGAATTATGTACAGAATTATATACAGAATTATGTACAGAATTATATACAGAATTATGTACAGAATTATATACAGAATTATATACAATAGTTTAAAATGTTTAGCAAAAGCTAAAGTTAAAGAATAATCCAATATTCAATACTCACTTAATACTATTCACTCGAATGCCCTTTGGTCCCAATTGTAGGGCTAGACATTTGGTAAACATGTCCAGGGCACTTTTGGCCATACAGTATGCCATGGCTTGTGGAAACTATTTTTAAATATTTTATCATATTTATTATTTTGTTATTTATTTAGGTTTTACTTACGGGTATAAGTGCGGCCACACTCGAGATGTTAATAATGTTTCCTTTGGTTGACTCGAGATATGGAACCACTAATTGAGTCAATACTTGAATACTCCGGACATTAGTGTTCATCACTTTGTCGTATGACTCGAGATATGCCGACTGTTCAA